TTTTTTTTTTTTTTTTTTTTTTTTTTTTTTTTTTTTTTTTTTTTTCCTTGTATTTTTCTTAGGCTGCTGTTCGCTGGCCGTTCGACCCCCTTGACCATAACCATGTTGCCTTCGCTGTTGTTATTGCTGCCATCCTGGTTTATTCATCTTCGGATTCCTCAGACTTCCTGCCAGTGGCAGTACTTCTTTGTAACAGTTATTGACGAACTCATGTTCGTCGCCTGAATAGAATGCACACTAGTCATATTTGGATGAAAAATGGAGTTTTTTTTGTTTGTTTGTTTGTTTGTGAAAGGGCGACGGGCCGACGACCTTGAGAGGACGGGGGCAAGGGGGAAAGGGGGGTGCTGCGTAGGGAGGAAATCGGAACAGGGGGTAGGGAGGAAGGGGGGTAGGAAGGAGAGAAATTAATCCATTGTGTCCACAACTGATTGCCAGTGCGTGACTCAATTCCACGGTGGCTGTTTGGAATTGTGCAGGCTGTGCCCTTCTTGAGCGAGGATTTGGCCTTGGAGTGCGAGGGCAAGGAGAAGGGCAAATGCGGCTCCAACAACTTCAAGTAACTGGGACGGCACCAACTCCTCGACACCAACAACCCCAACTTCCATTCAACTAGACGGCAATGGCCACATCATCATTCATAAGGCGTGAAGGCAACAGGAGCTAACGTCCACACTGCAGCAGCAGCAATAGGAGCAGAGGTGACAGAGACACTCTCGACTGCCGGTCACTGCAGCGGCAGTTCACACTCTTCGCGCTCAATCGGGCAGGAAGGACTCAGAAGTGTGCCACTTTCGGAATCTTTGCACTCACTGACAGTCAGTCAGTCAGTCAGTCAGTCGGTGAGGACTGAGAGTCGCCCCCACCTTCAGACGTGCCGCGCTCGGTCGGGTAGGGGGGAGGAATCGACTACAGGCAGAAGCTTCGGGTAGGACGGAGGAATCGACGTGCCGCGCTCAGTCGGGTAGGGGGGAGGAATCGACTACAGGCAAAGCAGACTGAGAAGAAGAGGGCAGAGCAGATGATAGCGGTGGCACGCCTCGTACCAATAGCAGAATTATAATTAGCGTTGTAACTATGTAAATGTAAAAATAGCAAAATTGCCAAAATACGATTTAAATATCGACTTGGAGGAAGGTAGTGAGTGGGGCAGGCCAAGGAGGGGTCTGGTGGGCCGATGGGAGGCAGGGGAGGAGGAGCAGGCAGGGAAGAGAGGGAAGAGAGGCAGGCGGATGGGAGAGAGAGAGAGCACACACTGTTGGCATACTGCTTATGTAACACATCATCATCCCTCTCTCACTTGGCATTATTTGTGGACGAGAGAATAGGTATATCGCTGCCAGTCTTCTTTTCTTTTCCTGGCAACCCGAGTCGCTCAAGTTGGATGCATTTGGCCTGAATTACTGAAAAGATTCCCAATGGGCACCCCTGATTTGTTGTATAGCCTTTTATTTTTCTTGATGCGCACTTGTTGTCAGTCAATCAATCAAACAAGCACAAGCACTAGGCGTATCGCCTCCTTCTCCCTCTCCTCCTCCTCCTCCCCTTCGCCCCTTCTCGTTCCGAGTTGCAGCTGCAGATATCCCAACCAATCTACTCAGCACTGCCTCAGTAAATACTTAGTAAAAAAACGGCAAGCTCCACCCTGCGGCCATAATTGGCTGGGTCATCAGTGATAAAAGAAGCAAACTGCAACAGCACACCCCCTCCTGCTCAAACTGTGTTCCGGAAAAGGCACACAGAGCAATTATTTCAATTTATTTCAATTTATTTCAATTTATTGTTACCCCAGAAATTCTCGAAGCGAAACCAAAACCAACATAAGACGAACAAGGGCTGCACAGCGAAAGTAAGGCATAGGCCGAGGAGGAAAATGCCAAGAAGAAGGGGGGCGGCGGGGGGGTGCAGGGGTAGTTAAGAGGTGAGGAGGGGAGGGAAGGTGGCACAAGGAACACTGTGGCAGTCTTTTCTCTTCCTTCCATTTGTCGTCAGAAAATGTAACAACTCATGTTCACAACTACAGTCTTCCCCCGAATACAACGTACGGTCTTTATCTGACGACAAATGGAAGGAAGAGAAAAGTTCAGTGTTCACAGAAACAATTTATCATGGCGACAACTCGTCATGCTAACAGTTCTGTTGTTGTTGTTGTTATTGTTGTTGTTGTTGTTGTTGTTGTTGTTGTTGTTGTTGTTGTTGTTTTTTAAGAACAAAACCACCTCGGAAGCAGCTTGAGGTGCTGGTAGGAACAGTCACCTCAAGCTGGACCGGTGTAGGCTCCATCTATTGGTGGGTGGGGAGCAGCACCTGCTGGGAATCAGGCCCAGCGTCCCTTTTTTAACAATTATGAGAGATCACAGATCACAGAAATATTGCATCGGTACCATTGTGGTGATAAAAAATAGGGGCACACCTCGCCCCAATTGTGGAGTAACCACCTGATACGGGCTACAGTCCCGATTTAGTGCTGTTCATTGTTTGGTGTAATGTAATGTAATGCAGACCAATGGCTGCAACAACCATTGCTGTGATGGATTCTGGCTGCCTCCCTACAGAGGGTAGAGAGGAACAGTGTCCCTGGTCGGCTAAGTGAGTGAGGGAAGAGGTGGTGATGGTGGTGATGTTTTGGTGACACAGGTGTATGAGGAATTTGGGGGAAGGCCTGGGTGGGTGGTTGATGGGTAACAGGGCTGAATCTTGTACTAGATGAGCTTGTGCTCAAAGTGGAAGTCAGGTGGGGAGCAGTCCCCGCAATGCGGCCATGTTCTCTCTCGTGAAACCACCTAGCACACAGCCCCAGCCCCAGCCCCAGCCTTGCAGTCCGAAACTTGTCGCCCACAACACGGCCAAAAGAAAAAGAAAAGAAAAAGGATAATCTTGTACTAGATGAGCTTGTGCTCAAAGTGGAAGTCAGGCAGGCAGCATCCCCTGCAATGCCATGTTCTCTCTGGTGAAACCACATAGTACACCGCCCCAGCCCCAGCCTTGCCGTGCGAAACGTGTCGCTCACAAGACAACGCTGCCGAAACGTCAAACGCTGAGCTTGCTGAGATAAATTGAATCAGCGGTTAGTAGCCTGTTACCATCTACCATCGCCTTTTTTCGTTTGGTGCTAACTTGCCTTCCAGATTTCGATGTGTCAGCCCCGCAGCCCAGGTGCCCATGTACTGGTGCAGCAGTGCTTGAACACGGTTCTGGCTGCTACGGGGTTCCCTGTATGACTATAATTAGTATCCCTGTATGACTATACTTAGGATCCCGGTATGACTCTAATCACTAGTTACTGTAGTGGTAGGTAGGTAGGTAGACTGCAGTGAAATTGAGAGAACAACGTAGGGGGAAAAAACAGAAAAAAAAAAAAAATCAGAAAAAAAAGAACAAAAAAAAAAGCGAACAGATGGCCATAAAATGAACATGCAAATTCATCATGTATGGAAGGTCTGGTGTGTTTGGAGGCAAGTGGAGCTAGAAGGTCACAAGGATGCTGCAAAGCCAAAATCAGCTACGGATGGAGGGGCCTACCTCCCTACCACCCTCGGTCACGGTACACCCCTGCAATGCTGAAATACGGGCTCAAGTTCCAGGCTTCCAGCCCAGACAGTCCTCTAGATGAACAGGGCAAAATCATTATGAATTGCTCGGGGCGGTCAGTTCAGTGATCATGATATTTCAAGTTAAAGGCCGCCCAACAGCTTTTCCCGCTGTTGGGAAAATGGGGAAATTCAACATAGACTGCTGCTAAAAATCCGAGGACTGGGCCCGACAGCGCCCGCCATTTGCCATTGATAAATCTGATCGGCGGCCATCGTTTTTCTCTTCTGCCTCTGAAACGATTGGGCATCCCACAATGGGACAATGAGGCCAACGTAGTGGTGGTTTTTGTTTTTTTTTTAAGTTGAAAAACATTAAACTTTTTCAGCTGCGGATGTTTCCAAGAGTGTACATGAGCTTGTGTGTGAGCTGGTGCGTGAGCTGGTGCGTGAGCTTGTGGATGAGATGCCACAGTCACTAGTCTGGATTTTTTATTTTTATTTTTTTCTAAATTCTAAGCTAATATTCTTCTCTTATTTTGTCTTTTTCTGATTGTTTGATTTTTTTTTTTTTTTTTTTTTCTGCAGGACTTGAATGACAAGAAGAGGGCCCTCACCAGCTATGCCAATCTGGCACGCGCGTACACTGTGCAGAATGGTTCCTGCGCGTTCCCTGACAATTTCACCGGCTGTCAAGACCTGGCCAAGAGACAGGTAACCTAAATTTCAAATCGATCCGCCTGACCACCTCTCACCTCTTGAATGTACTTTGTATCTGCCCATTCTTCCTTGAAGTTCCACCCCATTCTTCCCGGGCCCGGGCCCGGGCCCGGGCCCGGGTTTCTGATTCCCCCTCAGGGTTGAACCCATGATGATGTCTTTACTAGCAGTTCGTACATGGGTGCAATTCAGCAAAATTGGGCCATTGGGCTAGTACCTGCAGGGGCCCTATTATGGGAGACTTTTCCCATCTTTCGGATTCTTTCCACAATTCCCCGCTGTTGTCGTGCCTGTCTTCCTTGTCCGTCCATCTATATGCCTGGTGTGGCATGTTTCTTTTGGCTTCCTTTTCTTACCTCGACCAGGGGCGAGGCCCCACTAGCAAAGAGGGTTTGATAAATATCCTGAATCTGGTCGTGTTTTAAGCAGAGATGTGGAAAAGCAGTTCAATCTCGACAATCTGCACCTTTCCACAAACAAGTCCAGATTCAGCCTTCAGGTGTTCAATCCAATCCTCTTTGCTAGTGGGACCTCGCCCCAGGACCTGGATCCCACACTACACATCATGTTGTGAAGTTGGTGGCAGCAGGCGACGGATTGGAAGCGGTCGTTGTGCCTCTCAATCGGAGGCCGCGTCGCGTCAGCCCTCGTGACCGGAAGGTCGAGCCAGCAATATGGGAGATTTTCATTGGCGGTCGGGCTGGGGGGAGGGGGGGGGGACCACAGATAACATATATTTTTTTCACATTCTTCTGAGAACTTCTTTTTTTTTTTTATAATAATTTTTATGTTCGCGTTCGGAGGGTTTTGGGCGCTTGTTCGCGTTCGCGAACACGGTGCTACGTAGGTATCAACCAAAAAAAAAGCTTTTCTCTACTACGTTGGGAGTCCTTTTTGGTCATGGAAAGGACCGAAAAATCCCACCCCTCTCGCTCTTTCGCACCTGTCATACAAAGAAAAGAAATATGAGACAATGTTGTGCAGTCCGCATCTTAAACCGCCAGTATCTACCGGCGCTACCGGTCGGTGCGGCCTTTAACGTGGGTACCGCCAAATAGGTCTGCCCTTCGGGTCCATATTCATTCGACCCGGGCGGGTACGAAAAATGTGGTAGGTAATTAAATGGTTTAAGTGACTGAACATGGAAATTACAACATGCCATGTCCTTGTGACTTCAGATGCTCCTCCCCCCCCCCCCCCCCCCCCCC